GGTGACCGATCTCCCTTGCTCCTCGCGTCGATTAGCTTATGGATCTTCTCCTTTACGAGTAGAAATGGTTTCCAGGAGATCATAGAAAAGTTGGGACTACGGGCGTGTAGGTCAGGCGGAGCGAGCGGAATACCCCCGTTGCCCCTCTACCGAAACGACGGACTTTTTCTGTGCAACGTGTTTTGTCCGTACGTTCGGTTAGTCGCCTAACGTACATGCGCGACCGAACTATTGTACGCTCGATTCGCGCTTCCTACGGCAAATTAATGACGTGGAAGGGTCTCTAGTAGTCTTAGAGAACTTTATTTTTTGTGTTGTACTCTCTGCGAGCGCTGGTGGAAGAATGCTCTTCCAACGCTGGAAGGTCGTGGAAGAGCACCCGTGGATGGAGGTAGATTGTTTATTATTGGTCAAGGCACGAATCACCCCTTGGAGGGGGGTGTCTGCCTTGACTCTTGTTGGGGCCTGAGAGGGTTTCCCCAATGGTGGGACCTTTTTATGGCCCTTGTCTCTGGACGCAACACAACGGACTGTAGTAAACGGAATGTTTCCATCATTTTTAATGTTTGTAAACTCTATCGTGGACAGAGACATCTGTGGTAGACGAATAGACGACAACTAAATTCATCACGAAGATGAACAAACTTTATAGTCGATTTTCTCGAAAACGGAGCCCGGGATACAAAAAATGTTATCACGTGGAACTACATAGAATTCCGGCCCACCCTGTATATTGTATCAGAGGCAATCTTTCATCCAATGCAACGAAGTATTTTCTTATTTCAGTCTTCTTAAAATTCAGTACGAAACTCGCAGAAAACAGCTCAATCTATCGATGATGACACATTGTTCCCATGAATCTGATAATCATCAGATCCTCAGCACCCACTCCCAGAATCGATCGCCTCGAAAATCGTAGCCGAATTCCCTGGTTCTGTATTTTGGATGCCGTTTCCCACCAGGGAATTACACGTCTGCCCCGATTTCGGATGGCCCTTATGTGGCACATAATGTGCAGGCATTCACGCGGAAGCATCCGGCACCGTTGAATTTCGAGACACGAGTTTAACTAAGATCGCGAGTCGTTGAATGTATTATCAAGCCGCCATCGGGCGGCACGAATTTTCATCCCGGCTTGCCGGAGATCTTCTTCGAGGTGTATACGAGCTAACGAGCTAACGAGCCGACAGACTTGTCATCGTCGTCGGCGTCACCATCGCCCACGCGTCCCGTGTCGTATCGATTGCCGTCCGGAGCGGCGGTTATGGCATTTCCAGCATCGTGTCCGCGTGGAAAATCGCTCGACTCGGCCGTTACGAGATTGGGAATAATATTTGAGGTTCATTTGTCGCCGCTGTAAATAGCACGGCCGCGGGCGTACGAAAGCGCCCAATTACAGATGACCAAATATTTTAATAACGATCTAGAAACGGAAGCGTCCGCGCACCGTGCTGGCTCTAACAGCAAATAAATCATGGAACACGTTGTCAACCGTTCTCCGCTTTGAAATCGCATTGGCAATTTGGCTAGTCCAATATTGTTTCATAATACAGTGACCCAATTTTTTCCTGGAAATTGTTTCCGGCCGGCGAGTATCACAGGTTACCCGCGGACAGTGGAGATCAATTTCCACCGCCGATTTTTATAGAACAACTGCTACTTCCGATGCTCGTCGTCTAGATGACATGCGCTTAAAGCTTCTCGGATAATCTTTTCATAAATCCGTTGAAAATCTATTCGATTTTTAATTGTCGATGTTGAAGTTCGCCTCATGGTTGCGCCATTCACATTCCTGATTTTAATCAGCTGCTACGATGTATAGGAGTAATAGCAATATTTATAGTCAACGATCGAATCGTTGAAATAGCTATGTGAAAAATATATTTTAAGCAGTTTGCTGTTTTTGGCGACCATACTCGTCGTGCAATAATGACAATGTTTTATGTTTTGACGAGCATACTCGTCGTGAAATAATGACAATATTTTATGGTATGATGGATCGTTGTGAAGTAATGGCAATATTTTATGTTATAGCGACTATACACAAAATGCGTAAAATTTTGCTATTTGAATTGCAATTTTAGTGAAAACTAAAATGTATTCGAAAACGAAATAAAACGGACAATTGAAAAAAATAATTAAATTTATTAAATATATAATAATTATCAAATTAAGTATATAATTGATGACAATTAAAATAATTATCATAAAAAACTGTATTAACAATCGTATTAATAATCGTAACTGAAGAAAGTAAGCTGACTGAATTAGGTTGCTAGTTTTAGGTGGACTGGCTTGTACAATTTTTTTTCATTGGGTTGTCACTAGACGCGGTAAAGTTCGCAGAAATTTGCAGTTTTCTTGACAAATTCAGCACGTTCGCTGGCGGAGTCGTTGCCGGCCACCGTTTCATATTTCGCGCGAAGAAAACCGTATTACTTGTACGTGCGTTTTTGTTTAAAATCCGCAACGCAGAGCGCAACATTCAAGACGGTAATGAGATTTCTTTGTTCCAGTTTTTTGATATTCCGTAAAGAGGGTATGTCGCGTTTCATAAAACGGAAACCGTGGCGACTGGAACAGTAGCAGCGGATGTGTTGGAGAAACGAAAATTAAGTGCAAATTTCTTTTCCTTGGCACGCGGTAAATTAAAAATAAAACGGGACCGCGATGAATACCTCTGAATTTCGTGTTTTACGATTTCCTGAAATTTCTCATGACCTCGTAATTAAGCACAACCGCGGAACAATCCTGGAGGTGTATTTAGGCGAATTAGCAAACAGTTCAGCAAACACAAATTAAAACAAAAAACTCTGTTAAATTTAGTAATTTCTTTACGACTTACGTTCGCTGTCGATGTTTAATATTTTACAGCCTAGCGATTAAGTGTACAGTACAGCCTGTTGAGTAACAAAGCAGGAGATCAATATATTTCGGCGAACATGTAGCATCCCTGAATCTGGCAGTAAAGTAAAAATAAAAGTGGCGAGTTTGATGGATTATACTACCTTTTTTGTCTTATAATTTTTTGAGGAATCCCGTAATGCTGACAATGTTTAATATTTCACGGTCTAGTATCTGGAAATACAAAACAGTCTGGCAATTAACGAAGTAAGGAATGAAGACTGTATTTCGATGAACAAGAGAATTTTCTTGGTTCTGGTTTTCAGTGAATTAGAGAGAAAAATGTAATTCCTTTGAATCGTACTATATTTTGTCTTTTGTAAGTTTCTGCATATCCACGTACGCTACTAATAATCGAAACTTTGCAGTCTAGCAATTAAACGTACACAATAATCTGTTTTCGTACAAAGTAAAGAATTCGAAGAGAATTTAATCGAACAGGCAGTATTAATTTCTATTCGCACAATTATAGTGTTCATCAATGTACACCTTCAGAATAATTAAAATCATCACGGTATTATTTAGAGCATTTAATCGAATAAGTATTAATTTTTACTCTCTCAGTTTCAATATTCACCAAACAACTAAAATCCAGAACTAAAGATGCTGAACCCAATTTTTAATCCTAGAATAATTAAAATCACCACAGTATCGTTGAAATATTCCAGAATAATTGAAAGCGGCACAGAATCATCCCAAAAAAAACCTGTAACGATTGAAAATCCACAGTTCCATCCCCCAAACCATCACAGACTACGAGGAAATAAATCGGTCGCTTATCGGACAAGTGGATCCTAGTCCATCCAACGTAAATAAAGGATTTGTGGCCGATCTGGGTCAGGCAGATAGAACAAATCACGCGCACGGTCGTTTAGCAAGACAAATATTTGACGTCCACGGTCTTTCCATGATCCGGTTAATTGAAACGAGAAGAAAGTACCTGTCCCTAGAATCGCTACAACCCATCTACCATTCCTTGAACCCTAAAAGCGTCCTCTTTCCATCGTAAAATGGAAACGATTTCATTAGAATATTTCATAACAACGAGTAAAGTGAATTCTCTTAACAAATGCTCTTAATTAAGAAGATGCAGATAATCCAAGTGATTCAAGTTCAACTCTAGATATAGTCTTCGTCTACCGGAAGTTGTGTCTAATCGTTATTTTACAATCGAACATCAATATGTTACGAATTCGTGAAAAAATTATCCCGAAACTGTAATAATTTTACGCATAATCCGTGATTTACACTAAAATAATGTAACAATTTCTTTTGAAATTATTCTTTAGGAAAATATTATCGTGTAATATAGTAAATGAAAATGTTACAGTCAATTTATTCCTTTGAAATCAAAGTTATTCGAACTCGAAATCCAGAAATGTTTTATGACCAACAGTATTTCTATTTTAAATAATTTTGGAGCGTAGAATAATTCACAGTACTTTAAATATAAACAAATTTGATAGTGTCAAAATTCTTTTGCATCATATTACGGTAATTTCTGGTGGTGTCTTCGAATCGCCACTCGAGTGTAAAGTGTTATGTCGTCGAGATCTATACAGGATTGGGAAAAAACGATTTTTTAAATATTAAATAAACTACATATACGATCTTGATCTTCTCATGTGATATAGAATTTGGCGAATAAACTTCTTTTAAAATAATAGTTACACATGCAATTACTATCTCAAGAAATGTTTATTTTCCAAATTCTGCATTACACGAGAAGATGAAAATATTTATAGCTTATTTAGTATTTCAAAAATAGATTTATTTTATACAGTAGAATCATCTCGATCAACCGAACTGGATCTTGCTCGAACTTTATTATTTAGATTTTTGATTATTCAAAGAAATAATGATGAAACCATAGAAGGGCCTCGATCAAACCTCGGCCTGTCACCTTATCTTATTGTATCAATAATAAAATAAAATAAATTCAATCGAAAATAAAAAGAATAATCGAATAATCGAAGTTCTACTGTATATATCGATGCGTGATCGTTTCCACATCCATCAAACTTGAAAATACAATCTCAATAGACATTCAGCCAGCCACCCGACCATAAAGAAATTAACAAGAACCTTTGTTTCGTTCGCAGATTGGATCGCTGAGGGAGTATTATTTGTTTGCGGACAAACGACTGCACAAGAGGTCTTTGTCGAGCAGCGAGTCGCATCACAGAACTCTGAGGGATGAGCCACGGGTAAGTGATTCCATCTTTGACGTATCCTAGGGTTAAGGAGCAACCCGTGTGCTCGTCAAACTGTGACGGGGTCGACGGAGGCAACGTGCGCGCGGAGCGAAAGCACAGGTGCGAAACAGAGAGGCGCGTAATTTCACGGCGTCTGTTCTACTACGACGCGCATTGTTTACTCGGCATTCTAATTTTCTCCTGTTCGCGAACAACGTCCCCCCCCTCCCTCTCTCTCTCTCTCTCTCTCTCTCTCTCTCTCTCTGTCTCCCTCGCTCTTTCATTCTATCTTCTTGAACTGGGAGGGGTGCGCGCCCTCCGAAACAAACGACCAAGTCACGCAGTTACATAATGTCGTACGTGTGCCAGCGTAATTCAGCCCCGGCACTCCGGAGCGTTAAATATCGTCTTGATACTTTTTTCCGCCCACCCGCCAGCAAAGTTATTTCACCCGCTGATAACGTGCTGTTACCACGTCCGAATGGCTGTACCGACAATTGCGAAAAATTAGAGGGAATTCGTGCGGTGACGGGGGTTGGCTTCTCTGCTTTCTTAACACTAAATTTACCGAACCCGTCAAAATGGCGGATCATTAATTTTTTAATTGACGATTATTCAGATTGTAAAGGTATTATTTTATGAGTTATTTATTCAGTACAAAAATGTTCGTGTACTTATATCACGTTCCAAAATAACTGTTATGTTATCAATTTCATATGCATAAAATGCACTTTGCCGTACGAAATGGAAATGTTGTAAGTCAGAAAAATTATTTTCGACTTACGAATACGTTTTTTAATTCACGTTTTCTAATATTTCTATCGGGTCTGTAACGAAAATTTTGAAAATGTATTTTTGTATCAAAATTCAATTTTTATTGTGACGTATTCGATCGAACTGAATTTTACTAAGATATTTAGAATACAGAAGAGAGTTAGGACACCACCATATTGCTATAATGAACTCTAACTTTCTGGTTTCGGATTCATTAATTAAACTTCTTTGATCTTGTGGGAATTTTTTTCAGAGATTGATTTTTGGCACCCAATGTGTGTTTATTCACAGCTTAATATCATTCTTTGTTAAAAAAAATCTTTTATTAAAAGAGAATTATGAATATTTATTAAAAGAGAATTATAAAGTACGCGAATATCTGCCCGATTATTACTAGACCGTGGAACTTTATGCAAAATAGAAATTAACTAAGTTAATTATAGGAAATATAAATTACATGAAAATATTTTTTCTTTCTTAACAATCGTAATAAGTTGAAAATAATGTAACAATATCCTTATATTCTTCTAACGTCTTCTCAGTTTTGCATTTGAGCTATTCAATTTTATCATAAAAACATAACATTCACGATCTAATTATTACTATGTCGGCACATCGATGCGCATAAACATGTTCAGAGATGTAATTATAAAACCGTAATGGAGAGATCAGGTAGAACTTCTGAATTTCCGAACGCTTCATTCTCACCTTTCCGCGAAACATGTAACACAAAGGAAAAATTCGATTTATCACGTGACTCGTCGTGGTACGAGCGTCGGATACATTCAGCTTACAGTAATTAATGACACATCCAGCCGAATTTCATTAGATGCTTAAAGTATTATGCCGGTGTTAATTGGGCTCTACAATAATTGATCCTCGTGTATCGATTGTTTCGTGGATGTGCGTCATGATAATTGGAAGGTGCGCACAATGCGAGCCGTCCGAAATTGTTGTATAGCATGCCCAATAATTGATACACTCGATTCCTACGCGTCCGCTTAACTTCGAGCCGACGCTCGGGAATTATACGCGAACGACAAAGGGAAACGCACGCGTTGGTGTCAAAAAAGACGAAAAGAAAAAAATAGCCAGAGAGAGAAAAAATATACGTACACGAAAGATAGGAAGAGAGAAAACAGAAAAAACAGAGAGACAGGCAGTGAGAGAGAGAGAGAGAGAGAGAGAGAGAGAGAAGGGACAACAGAGAAAACAATGAGGAGGAGAACCGGGAAAGAGAGAGCGAAAGAGAATACAAAGAACAGAGAGAGACTGAGAAAACAAAGAGAAAGAGAGAGAGAGAGAGAAAGAGAGAAACGTAAAAAACCGAAAGAGTCATTACCATATGCATGAAAGTGTCATTTGAAATATGCAGCGCTTTTAATTCTTCGTTACGTAAGAATTTAAAATTCGCTCTCATTTCCATTAGAATGCAAGACCGGAATCCTTTGCCCCGGCGATCTAAACGATTCTTTTGTGCAAAACGTTTCGCTTTAGGGCGCTTTAAATCGCAATCAAATTATGAATTAACCCGCGAGTACCCCCGGTCGCGGGACAAATACAAAAGGGACAAAATTCTGTCCTCGCACCGGTTTGTATTTCGCGACGAAACACGCCGAAATGGCGTTCCCCGATTTTCATGCAAATTTCCTGGCGACGCTGCTCACGAAACTCTGTTTGACACGTACTTTTTTTTCCCTCGGTCGTCCTCCGCCTAAGTTCGCGAAAACTGTCGAGCCAAACAAATATTTATCTTTCACGCAAATCTTAGGCAGTGCAATGCAAAAAGTAGTGCAACCCAAAAAGTAGTGCAACACAAAAAGTAGTACAATGCAAAAAGTGATGCAAATCGATGTTAGAAAATTACGTTAATTGTTTTCAGAAAATGATCGCTTTGCGTAGTGCCATCTTTTTAATGTACAATCGTTTTAAAGTCGAAGATCAATATCTAAGGTTAAAAATTATTATATATTACAATATTATATCATGTCAGGTAGATATAAAATGTATAAAAATATATTACCACGAGTATAAATCCCCATTTCTCCTAAAGGGTTTCTCTCTTTTGCACCTAACGAACAGCATAAAGTCAAATTGATGGACTAATTCGAAATGACATGTATAATTAACACCCCGCACTCCGATGTGGCCACTACAGCGACACTAAATTGTCATCTTTTCTGATATTCATATAAAATACATAAATAAAAACACAAAATCTTCTATTTATTGATTCCTATAAAATTTTACAGCACTATAACGATTTTGATTTGAATTCAACTTTGTATAGCACAATTAGAATTTTGACAAAATTTCCTCCGTATACTAATGGTACACTAATATCAGAAAAATCTTCCTCATGCTAAGAGTTGATACAGTGAAATGCTGATCGATTAACGTCATTACGATTGAGAAACAGAACTGTCGGGAAATCGTGGAATTCGGTTACAGCGCGGTTCGACTGATTGCCTTAAAATGCGTAGGGGGAGCAGGAGGGAAGCGGGATTTATCGAGTTTCCTTTTTCTATAGGACAGTTATCGAGAGGATTGTTAATAGCTTTCCATGGAATAAATTGTTAAGAAGCTCCTTAGCAGGGAACGAGATGCAATCAAATTACGGTTCGATTGAACTTCTCCGAAGCCGTTTCAACCACTCGGTTTTGTCGAGTACTTTAATGTGACCAGCCACGGCAAAAAGTATCGTAAAGCCGACCAATCGAGACGGGAAAAAATAAAGGACCGTAGACCATGGCGGAGTGTGGGGGGATGGGGCGAGGGGGAGGGTTTTAAACGTTGAACACGACATTGAAACTGAAGTGGCCATCCGGTGGTCATCTCGACCCGTCGATGGGGAAGCTTTCTTTAAGAGCAAAAACACGGTAGAATATCGCCGCGTTCGCAGAGATAATATTGTGATTGGCCCATCTTTTCAACCGCTGTCTTTTTCTAGCCGATGAAGCACCCCGGCCACGGATGAAACGAGAGTCAAGAGGTTTGCTCGAGAAATACCGGCGCCATTATAGCCGGCGTAATATATATTTACAACGGGAGTTGTTTTAACAGTTCGCTCGGAGTGCGCACAGCTGCAGAGTATCGCGTAATTAATCGCGATCTCGTGCATACACACCTTCGCACTCGATATCTCGGCCGATTTCTGCAATTATTTAGCCCGGTATCGATGTTGCAACCCGACGTTTAATTACATCCCGATAGAAAACAACATTGATATGTATTTATGTAACTTTGTTGCGCGAGCATCTTTAAAATGAAACTTGCAAGCTGACTTTGATACATGAATTACCGAAAATGAAGCCCCGAAATTATCGTGATTGCAAATTAATTTAATTATCGAATTGAACGACCCAGTGAAATTTCATTCGTTCGAATATATTACGATTGAAATGAACTGTGGAAACTGGTCGAAAAATTAACAGATCTTTTCACACGTTCAATCCTGAATATCAACTCGAAAAATATCCACCATACCAAAATCATTTAATTAATGAAACCGAAAAATCCTAATAACATTCAATTTTAAATTATTCTATGGAAATATATATTTTTATTGTACTCTTGGAATTATTCTTCTAGTCCTCACCTTTCAATTATTATACGAAAATACATATGTTTATTGTCGATACGTAAAAATACAGTTTACTTGGTGTCAGCGTCTGTACACTATTCTAACAGAATTCCAGCAGATCTTACATATTTTTAATATACAATAATCCTTATGAAATGAAAAAGATACAAAGCTAAGAAACACTTTAGTCCATCTTGAATCTATCGTATGCAAATGTTCTCATACGTATTTAGTGTACAAACATCCTCGAAAAATCAGGAAGTTAGAATATCCAAAGACGCAATAATCCACTTGCATTTGGATCATTGAAAATGTTCATATTATCAATTATATTTCATGTAAACAATATCGAACTTGTTCCAACGATTCTACAAAAATTCCAACAGATTTTCTCCATTTTTATTGTATGTGCAATAATATTCAAAAGATTAATAAAATCCGAAGTTGACTAAATCCTCATGCCATTTAAATTTTATTCGCTAAAACTGTCCATATAGAAAATTTCGCTGAATTCATTATCGGGCAAATAGTTCGACGAAAGCTTCAACAGGTCACGCGTGCACTTCCGCCGACAAAAATCCGTTTCAATAAATCTGTCCATTAAAAGCAATGCTATAAATCTGTCCATTATGATAAATACGCTTGTCGTCGACTACATGCGCACTGTCTCGAATCAGCGAGTGATTAGTAGTCGTCGGCGGGGAAACAATGATCGATGGGCACCGCAGCTCGTCGCGGTCTCCCGTTCTTTTTTCTCCCTCTCTCTCTCTCTCTCTCTCTCACTCTCTCTCTCTCTCTCTCTCTCTCTCTCTCTCTCTCTCTCTCTCTCCGCGAGCATTGTCACACGTGGCGCCTACGACCGTGACACTTATCGACGCGGAACGCGAACGAGCCTAGGGACTTTGGAGCCCGGCCAATATTCGCCAGCCGTGAATTTCACGGGGAGGCTTTAACGCCGGTGTCCCGGCCGGCGATATGAATGAAAACGATCACCGTGCCGCGTTCCACGGTGTCCGCCCCCGACCGCGAAAACGTTTTCCCGCTGCGAGGCCGCGCTGTTTACAGGGCGTCCTTCACCGACCATAACCCCCCAGGCACTCTTACTGCCTCCACGAAAAATAAACAGCCTCGAAACAGAATTGGCCGACAGTTTATTCGGATGACGGATAAGAGGTAAAGACCAACGAATCAAATTTGATTCGACACCAGGCTAGTGAAGCCAATTCCAGTAAATTCTCTCCAATTTTCTCTCAACTTGTAAACAAAAATGGACAATCCGAGAAGAGGAAATACGATTATTCGAGCCTCTCGGTTCGTTTTGATAATTGTCGATTGCCAACAACTATAAAAACGAGTCGCAAAGCTCGAATAATCGTATCTCCTCTTCCGAAATTGTCCATTTTTATTTACAAGCTGAGGGACAGTAAGGAGTATTAATGAACGCAGTTGTGAAAGAAATCATAGTCCAAGGAGTAGAAAATAGATCTTGCAGAGTGCAGACTGTTAACTTGCATGGAAATGCTTCATATGGAAAAATACAGGGTGTCTCAAAAATGTCTTGCAATCCGGAAATCGGAGGTTCCTGTGGTCATCTGAAGCAACTTTTTCCTTTGCGAAAATTTTCTCAGAGGTTTCGTTTACGAGTTGTTAACGAAAAACACTGACCAATAAGAGGGGAGCTCGGCTGACGCGCGGCAGCCCAGCCAACGAGTGCACGGAGCCTAGTTCCGCTCAATGGCTCGGCCGTCTCGCGCGAAATGATCTCGCTTCTGATTGATCACGGTTTTTCGTTAATAACTCGTAAACGAAGCCATGGAGAAAATTTTCGCAAAGGAAAAAGTTGCTTCAAATGACCTCAGGAACCTCCCATTTCCGGATTGCGAGACATTTTCGGGACACCCTGTAGATTCTAGTGGCATTTTAATGCCAATTTTAGCAAATTTTCTTAAACAGACATTGTGATGTTGTTTTACGAATTTGGATAGACGTACAGTTAGAATTGGATAGAGAGATTCGTTTTTCCTATTAGCAGTAGCATTAACACGTTGAGCACGACGTCAGTCCCCTAAGACTGACACTGGACTTCCCGTTTAGGCGGTGTCAGCCCTTTTGGACTGACGTGTACTTTTCTTTGGGCGGCGTCAGTTGCCAGGGACTGACAGCGGACCTGACAGCGTTTGAAAACTGTAATAAGTAATAAACCTTAGAAAAAATAATGGCGGCTGCTAGTGTCCTAGATGAATAAATAATAAATTCAATTTATTTAATAATGAAAATTTTGATATATTTTATACATTATAAATATAATGTGAATTATGATTGAAAATAAACAGAAGGCACAGTGATTGGCAACACCACAGTACCTGGCTTGACTACCCTATCAGATAAATGCCCAATCAAATAAAAATTTATCTAGACAGCAATTTATCCGGATATAATTTTACTGGAATCAGAATTTATGAGCGACCAAAACAGTATTTCCCCTAGCGATAACCGTTAACCGAAATAAAATTTCCATCGTCAATTATTTTTATCGTCAACGAAAGAATTTTCGTTTTATTTTATTATTTTTTGTTTGATTGGTTATTCAATTAGACTGCGAATTTTATGCATTTATGGGAAAAATGAGTAAGTATAATTTAAAATAGTGGAAATATTAAAAGAAACCAAGAACGCGTTGATGTACTTATTTGAACTTATTAAAATGATTAAAGAAAACAAATTTCTTGTATTTGTTTCGTATGTTTTGCAACTGACGCGGACAACTTTTATTTTTGCATAAATATCGGTAGTCTAGTTATTAGCGAGATAAGTAAGTTATGGTCTGTTATACACTGTAATTTGTTTTAAATATCGTAGCAGGTTCTCCGTTGTTTATTATAATTGTTATTTATCACCAAACACATCGTTCATTTCTCTTTAACATTCCGCGATGAACAGCTAGTATAATAAAAACGATTTTCTCCAAAAAATTTGTCAAGTAACCATTATTTTGTCTCGCTGATACGAACAGTTCACTGCTCGTCAATTTATTTATTTGGTTCTTGTATTTCACAGTTCTTTCTCGCATCGAGAGGTCGTTGTCTCCCCACTCTACCAGCCGACATATCACAAAACGAACGCCGCGTGAACGAACAGAATGTTCATTTCACGGAATAAATAAATCAGCGTGAAGTTACGGAGGTGATCTCGCTTATGATCACTTGCGCCGCGAGAATGATCGCGTCGAAATCATAATCGCCGGAAATTCCCGCGAGCCGGAACGGCACCGATTTTTTTTTCGGGTGACAAATCAGTAGAACGGCGGACGATAATCCAACCGATTCGAAAATTCGTCGGCGCGATAACAAGCCAGATTTATCGCGGAAGCAACAGCGCAGAGCGCGTGAGCCACTCGGCCAGACCGAGCGAACGTTTTTATTCCTCGGCCGTTCGTAAATCCTCGAAAGTTTATTCGCGGCTGTCGGAACGCGCGGCATAAAACATAATAGAGTGAAAAGGATCGGCGTGCGCAGAGAGACCGGGGCCGGGGCGACGTGCTGCAACAAAATTAATTTTCACGTGCTGTTTATAATGCATCGTCACGTTTTCCAGGGCGCGCGGCGCTCACGATGTGAAAACCGTTGAAAAATTTCCCGCGTTCCCCGTCACACTCGCCGCGCACACCGATGCATTTTTAAGCGGCCGACACGATTTATCGACGAATATTCGTTCGATTCGATCGACGGCTTCGCTGCCTCGTTATTGCTGCGATTAGCCGCCATCCGTCACTTCCGACACCACTTAATTATACCCGCGAGGAATTAGTTTGATTTTGTTGACGTCGCTACTAACGGACGGATCGACGTCGTCCGTTCCTCACGATTCTCGGTTCGTTCACGGTTTTCCATTCCCCGAATCAAACAATAACCTAATCAATCTTTTTCTGTTTTACTTCTAAATTATTTTTTATCTATATATTTGTTAAGAAATTATTATATATTTCTAATCAACAATAATAGCTTTACTCGCAAGAAGCGTGTATTAAATAATATATAAATATAGATAGCTTTTTTGTTATTTTGTTAGCGAATAGGCGAATTGCAAGGATTTCATGGAACTTCTGTTTCCTACGAATCGCTTAGAAAACGATATACATTCGATGTGAAGAGTGCGTTTATTAAAGACGAAGATAACACGAACATAAAATTATGTTGTATATAAGGAGAATATCAATGCGAAAATGAATTTGTCTGTTCATTTTTCGAGACACTGAACAAGGCATTTATTAAAAGACGGAGACAAGGAAACAATTGTTTCAACTTTTATCTTCAAGATAGCACATTAAACTGAAAAGAAGATACATCCTTCAAAAACTGTCAATGTAATCACAACAGGAAAAAACGAATACGAATCCCATAAAAATTATTATTGTTATTATTATTATAAGTTTATTTATTTTATTTTTGTCATCGTTTAGGTTCTAAAAGTGTCCAAATAAATCCTCGACCCTTAACACTTCGAAAACCTATTAATAATCTTTACATTAACTGACCTGCATGTAAAAGAATCTCGATATTTTTCATTAGAATAATAATTTCAGAAGAAATTGTTCAATTCTGTTTAACTAAATAATTAGTTGGATTATGAAAGAAATTGTTCTCTCTTTTGATCATGCTTCTGGAGAATTCTCTTTAACTCTAACGCTATTAGAATAATACACCCGATAAGTACATTTAATAATAAAGAACCAAGAAAAATGTTTATAAAGTGAAATAACAAGCCTCTATCTTATAAAGTCTGATCCGTGTTTCCTGCGAGAATAGGAAATGCCCCGAGCTATTCGGGAAATCCATGGTCCTCTATAGGAAAATCTGTTCTTGTTTTTGCAGGTGCTGTGGTTCCAACAGCAGCATGAGAAAACCCGAAAGAAGAGAGACTTCGTGCACACGTCGTTCGCATTCCGCGATTATCCGACGTTTTTCGACGGGTTCGTTCCTCGTACCAGGCAGGACACGTACCACCGGCAGAAATATAGGGAGATACCCTTCCAGAACCTGTTCACGGATCCGCTCTTTAAGGAACAGTGGTACCTGGTAAGTGGACCCTTCGATTCTACTTTCTTCGATCCCCAAACCAAAACGAACTACGTGACGGGACTACGGCCGCCGGCCGATGTGGCGGACTTAACGACACCCGATAACTGTTATAACGTATTCGGGATCCAGCTCCGGCCGTTTCGCTTCCGCGGGATTTCCTCCGTAACACCCCCCCCCCCTCTCCAGGAGAGGGGGCTGTGTCCATCTGTCGCTGATCGAGTCGATCATGCCATCGACTATCATCGGCTCCGAGGGACCCGTTCAAATTATCTTGATTTTTTCAACCGTCTAATTCGAGATCAATTTATCGTTTCTCTTGTGTTCCGATGCTTCACAATTTTCGTAGCACTGTAGAAAATGGAAAATTAAGTATTTGTATCCTCTAAATTTTTCCAGTATTTTAGAAGACTCGAAAATTAAGTTTGCTTCCATGTGTCGCAAATCGAATTGAAGGATCATTGGAAATTATCTCGATTTTTTAAGCCGTCCAATGTGAGATCAATTAACAATTTATTACTGCTTTCGTGTCACAAGTTTTGACGATTTTTGTAGCGCGTTTTAAAAGATGTCGAATTAAATTTAATATCCTAGATTACTTTATGTCTTTCGTGCTCTGATCGTTAACGTTGTTTGCAATACAGGAGAATCTTGTTTATCCGGCCTATTAGAAGAAACGTAAGTGTTCGGATAACGGAGCAATTACTTAATTAAAGTAATGGTTTACGTTTACGTAATGGATACTGTTGCACAGACGGTTCATCGACAAGCAGCTACTATATTGTTTAACAAACAGCCAGTATATTGTTTAGCAAGCATCTACGACCACTTCATCGAAATCGAAGGATATAATATCCCGACATGTATACATTCGCCGCAATGATTTATTGTCATCACGTCATTATCACGGCACTCGTCGCCCGAAAGAACTTAGCGATATTTATGCACGCTAATTAGTGGTAGTTAATTAATTTCGAGCACCACAAACATAATATTTCATTTCCGACGGAACAAGTGAATTACAGTATTAGTTCCGTTTTGCCTCGCATATAATTTCGTAAATCGGAAACGATTATAATTCGGGTGCGCACGGTTCAATGGGATTTCTGAAGAGTCGCGTTGCAATGGCCCATGCGCGGTTACAATGCTAGGCAACCCGATAACTTTATAATGGAATTTCGCTTCGCAAGCGTCGACAACGTCAAAAGATCTTTATTTTGTGTCCGAGGCTTTAATTTTCGTTCGAAGAATTTCTCTGTGATGCAAACGCTACATTATCCCAATCTTTGGTTTCTTTGAAACACGAGTGCAATCGATTGAAAATTTATTGTCCCAAAATATCGAGCCAATTAAGCTGCAAAATGTTTCTTTCTAATTGTTTACAATTAATTAACACTAACTAATAATAATATTATTATTGTTAATAATTACTGCTACTACTATTTTTATTAATATTATTATTATTATTATTATTAAAAAAGTTGTTATTATTTATTTAGACTTTTCGCCATTTTTATTTCAAAGAATTTAATTAGACTTTTCGTAATTTCGATTGCAAAGAATTTATTTAAACTTTTCGCCACTTTTGTTGCAAAGAATTTATCTAGACTTTTCGCCATTTTTATTGCAATGAATTTATTTGAGTTAGATATCGATTCAATGATTTGCTATGAAAGAGTTCTTACAATGTCAACATTTTAAAATTAAAACACGTGAAATCATTAGGAAGATTTAGTGTTGCAATGTTATCTAAACACGTTTAGCCATGTGAATAATTCAATGTAAGACGACTCACATGTATAATGGTGTTAATTATCAAATAGGGATTTATTATAGCAGCATGTTCTATTATCCGATTGCTGATGTTCCCTCGATTACCTCGACCAAACGAGGTTCAAAATGCCGAAGTTTGTCTTCCAAACACGCGGCAACGAAAACACGGGACAAGAAACAAGTGTAACGAAGAAAAATCGTCGCATTGAGTGAGTTTGATTAAAACGCGTCCGCGTGTCCCGTATTTCGCGGCCGCGCGGTCGCAACTGTCTAGGGTATTTATGGCCCGCGAGCGAAATTTCATTTTAGTAGAGAAAAATCGGCAGGAATTTATTGTACGACCGACTACATTCGGCCGGGAAGAATTTTGTACGGTGCGCGGTCGAATACGACCGCGAGAAATCGAAACTGAGCGGGCCGTCCTTTTTCGTGCTTGGTTCATAAATTCGCTGCACGTCGCCTCGAACGATCGTTTTCGGGTATAGACAACGGCCGATCGCTGCTCTTGTCGTTTCGGGAATTAACGGCAGGGAACGGGATATACGGTCTCGGTATTAACAATGAGATGTTTTTCATTCACAAACAGGATTCCGGGCCGCGGGAACGAGCACGCCCTTTCATGTGATCCCCGATCGAACCCCTCGTTAGAGCCCGCCCGAATCGTTATTCTATGATTTAGTCGCTTAATGGGCTGACACTCGATGTACCGAACAATTGCGCGTCCAACCGCCAAACGAATATAATTGGGTACTCGTCAACGACAGCCCGGCACAATCGTATCGAATCGGCCATTCATAATTAGCCGGGATTTCGCAGTCTGTTTTGTTATCTGTGATCGAAATTTCGAACATTTCATCCGGCTACAACTGATATCATCGAAAGGAACTTACCCGACAAAATCTTGTCAACTCCGGATTAGATTTTGACATTATGTATTTGGATCGTTTCGAAGAAATATTTATCCAAGATAATTATCCGAACGGATTCCTTTTAGTTGAATATTTTATTCGCTACAAATTATTCTATCTGTTTATTCGAATAAAAAGTTATTCCAATAATTCGAAATATTCTTTATTCGGATAATTCGAAAAAGTAATGTGGAATAAATAAATCCAGAAACTATAAAAAAGCACCGTATAATCTCCCATTTGTATTCAAATCAATTATTTTACGCGTGTATCTCTGTACGAATAAATTCTCATACGATTGAATTCTCACTCGAATAAAATTTTGTTCGAAGAATTCGTTCGAAAGTTTATGCGAATAAAATGTTAGTCGATGAAGAATTCTGTCAAAGAATTTTTCGGAAATGAAGATTTTCCCAATTCCAATTCTTTCATTTCGTTTATTTCTTAATTTAAAAGAAAAAAAAACAAAAAATGTAAAATATCTTATTCGATAAATACAAAGTAAACGATGCCCGAAATCAAACCGAATGCCCAGCTCCAATTGATCAGCTCATAGTAACCGGCTCCACCGCGCCACAACAGCAAACAAAAAATCAGCTGTCATTTTGGCTGTCGCGTTGCAAAATAATTGGTCGCAATGAAGAAAGCGACGACGCGAGGCCGGCCAATTTCTGCAACGGGCTGTGCCAGTCACGGTGCACAATGTGAATCACCGCTCGAGTCCACGGATTGCTTTTGTGTTGCAGAACGGCGGCGCGAAGGATGGCTACGACATGAATCTTGACCCGGCCTGGCAGAAGGGCTATACGGGCAAGGGTGTTGTCGTGTCGATCCTGGACGACGGCATACAAACGAATCATCCTGATCTGGCACTGAATTACGACCACCAAGCCAGCTGGGACATCAACGACAACGACAACGACCCGATGCCAAGGGACAACGGCGACAACAAGCACGGGACCCGGTGCGCCGGCGAGGTCGCTGCAGTTGCATTCAACCAATACTGCGGTGTCGGCGTCGCGTACAACGCCAGCATCGGCGGTAAGAAATTCCGATTTTTCGACCGAGCCTGGTACCTAACATAGTAGTCGACGCCACGCTATGCCACGACACGCCACGCCACGCCACGGAACAAACGAGGAGACGGTGACTTCGGGATATCTCATAAATAATGGTATCCTGCTTCGCGATCGTTCTATCTCTCTCTCTCTCTCTCGCGCGCGCGCGCGCGTGCTCTCTCTCTCCCTCTTTCTTTCTCTTTCCTGTGCTCGACGAAACGAGAACGCGACTGCAACAAATTACACTTTAGCCAGTTTACACGGTGCTCTTTATTAGCCCCGACTACCCGTTATCTGACGATGTGAGTTATGGCACCCCACAGATGAGCTGTTTTTCCTAATTTCGTCTCGTCCCGCTGATCGAGTCTGATCGTTTTCCTGACTCTCGTTGCTTCGTCCCTGTAGATTCCTGTATATCTCATATAGTTCAGATTTTTCTGTAATCTTTTAATTTGGAGAGTGGATTCAATGATTTAGATGATTGTCACACATTGAACTCATTCCATAGGGGCATTTTCTTGAATCTCGTACAATCGCGAGCTCCTCGACGAGATTTTTCTTGGACTTTTGTATCCGGAGAGTGGATTTAATCATTTAGAAGGCTGTCACACGTTTAACCCATTCCATAGGAGCATTTCTTCGAATTTTATACAGTTGTAAGCTCATCGATGAGATTTTTCTTGGAGTTTTGTATCTGAAGCGTGGATTTAATCTTTTAGAAGGCTGTCACACGTTTGAACTGTTCAATAAAAGCATCTTCTGGAATCTTATACAGTTGTAACATGTTTCTGTGATTTTCCTACCTGGAGAATGGATTTAATCATTTAAAAGGCTGTCACACATTTAACTCATTCCATAGGAGCATTTCTTGAAATCTCATAGGGGTTAGCTCCTTGATGAGATTAAACTGCAATTTTAGCATTCTATCCGGAGAGTGGATTCAGTGATTTGAACGATTGTCACGCGTTTGACCCACCGCATAGAAGCATTTCGTAGAAGATTGTACAGTCGCGATCTCCTCGATGAGATTTCTCTTCGTGATTCTTGCACCCGGAGAGTGGATATGATCATTTAATACTGGATTTACGGAATACTAAAAGCAACTGTTTTCTATTAATTTATCAAACTAACAATAAGGCATTTATCACGATTTTGAACGAGTGTTATTGTTATATTTACCGCAAGCAGCACATATTGAATAAATTACTCATAACTGTATCTTCGCAATCCGAATGATCGTAAATGAAAAGATTAAAAAAGTTGGTGAACTGTCATTTCGACGGGTCCCGTAAACCTAGTGACAAAATCATAGATTCAACTCCTTGTAATCGAGCAGTTCTTAAAATACTGTACGTTTATTCGACTTGCATCGACGCAAATAGTCTCAGTTCACGTCGTTCGGTCATAAATCGAGCATATTCCACTTGTCCGATCGAAAGCAACACTTATTCTACTTGCTGGATTATCGATCACCTCTGTATTTGGCCTGTCGACTCATACGTCGACCGTATTCTACTTTTCTGGCCCTAGACCGAAACTGTTCGACTTGTCTGGCCACGGACCAACCTCGTTCTACACGTATGACTAACGACCATCGTGTTATTGCACTTGTCTGGTCATAGATCGTTTTTATTCCGCTCGTCTGACCACAGATTCCCGTTATTCCACTTGTTCGATCGTAAACCGTACCCATTCTACGGCCCTGATCAAAAACCGTTCTTCTACTCCGCTGTATCGGCGATCGATCGTCGGTATGTTATTCGTCTGATCGACGCAGACTGTTGTCTCTATTCCATCTGTCTGGATATGGATTAACCTCGTTCCGTTTGTCTGACTAACGATCACCTAATTCCACTTGTCTGATTACACACCGACCTCGTTTCACTTGTTTCACCAACGATAACCACTTTGTGGACGTTCGCTCCATTTGTCTGACTACAAACCGCTCCCATTCTACTTGTCTGGCCATAAACCATTGCTAATCCACTTGTCCGACCATACACCGTCCACGATCTACTTGTTCGGGAATCTTTTTAACGAGCCAGAAACGTTTGCGCGACTGATATGACTTTCGCCGTGATTCGTTCCGACAGTTTTCATGGTAACGATGCTTCAACATTCACGAATCTACCTTGAGAATTAAAATAATATTTATTATTTTCAGGGTATAATAAAATATGTATTATGTATACATTATATATATTATAGGTTTTATGATATATAATCCCAATGTTTTAATGTTTATTGACACGTTTGCAGGCAAATCGAAAATTTTGTGGGATCTCCGGCAGCCTCAGGGGGTAGTTATAAGATTAAATATCTGCAAACGATCTATTAACATTTCACATACATATGTTATTTAGTTTGTGCATGAAATATTCCCGAGTTACGTGTATCTTTTTTATTATTTAAACGTGTCAATCCATTACGGGCTCCTTCAGCTACGTTTTACAAACACAGCGAAAAGAAGAACATGTTCATAGAAAAGTAAAAGACGAATGTGCTCTACCAAAAGACACAGCATCGGACGCCACGTTCGAATATCGTGATTGATTTGCCGTGGCACGGCATCATCGAAGAACTCTCAAATGATTCGCAAATATTGACGATGCATCACAGTCGATTCCATGCATACCGTACACAATATTCTCGTCGCGACTTCGGTTAATTGCGTTGATGCATCGCGGCGGCACATTTGTTCAGGCCTATTAATATTATCATTATGCACCGATCCAATCACATTAATTGCAGCTCATTACGAACCATCATGCACTAGCCTGTACATTTACGTGAACAGCAGGGCCGCAGTTTAAAACCGCCCCGGGACGTCGCGACCCCATTTAATATTCGCGACAAAGATATCGTAAACAGTTTCCATAAACAGCCGCTTCTTTCACACGCCGCTACTCGAACCAACACGATTCCGTTATGATAACCTATGAACCTGTCGCAAATTCGCAATTTCATCTATGGAATTGCATGAAATATTAATAACAGAATATTTTACCCTCGATAGCATCGAGTTCGGTTATTCGGCAACAAAAATCCGTAATGCACTGATTACAAAGAATTCTTTATAAGCTCGTTCTGAAGCTTTATACGAATTCGCAATTTTTCCGAAATAATCACGCAAAGGGCAGTAAAATAAATAATTATACTGTTAATTGCTTTTGGGCTCGGTTTCAGTGAAGGGACACCGATATCGACAGATCCTTAAAAAATATCTAGTAATTTTTAGTACTATATTTCTCATCCTCATCGAACGATTCTCGAGGCTCGCAAAAATTCGCAAGATAGCAAGATAGTAAGGGATATGTTTGTTAGAGAAATATGAAGAATATTATCAATAACCTTGACATAACCTTGATATGTCAACGTTACACACAAGGTGTCATGCACACTAGAAAATTAAAACGGCCATCACGCTTAAATTACTTACTATTTCGGGTCTGAAAAATTAGTAAATATTCTTCAGACGTTCTAAAGTAAAGGTGAACAGCATTTTTCTTAAAAATTTTACTGTTACGTAGTAAAAAAAAATCCGGAATGTTCTCGCTTCGTGATTCGTTCAATACTTCGAACGCGGCTCGAGTCCGTCCCGACCATTTGTCAAAGCCTCGTGCTCCGGGCTCTCGAACTACGCGCCGTCACCTCTCATTGGTCAGTGTTTTCCGTTAATAACTCGTAAGCAAAGCGCCAGATTGCATTTTCGCAAAGGAAAAAGTTACTTCAAATGACCTCATCCTACTCTCATTTTCGGCTGTTAAAATAATTGTGGAACACCCTGTATGTATATACATATACATACATCATTCCATATGCATACATTTCATATCTATGCATTTTACAATCCATATACCACCATTACAAGCTGATTTAATAACACTCTAATTTATAATTATGTTCGAATTTATACACTATATTTTCACAGTTACGTTAATTAACATATGTTTATCGCTAATAAATTCCTACGTGAGTCAGATCATTTACATTATATTTATTGCTTGCCAATCTTTTAATTTGCTAATCACGATTTAAAAGATATTTTGTAGATTGCGTTTATTTAAACCCTTATCCAAACCTTCGCAACGAATCTGACACGATATTATAGGTCAACGGGTTAGGTATTTGAAACAGTAAAAATGAATTGCCATCTGTGAAATGTTTAAAATTGAATTTTAGTCATCGAGATCGACCGTTTAGGCTACTGCGCGATGTTCCCGAAACCAGGAGGTGCGAAAAATCGACGGGAACCGACAGTCTACTCATTACTGTCAATTCCGCAAGATCGATGCTCGCCGGGAGGCTGTGTTCCAGCTTAAAAATTCATCGTCGCGCGTTCACGGAGCCCGTCGATCCGCGGCGGAGCAGATTCGATTCCCGACTCTGCTCGGAAATTCGACGTCCGGAGCGCCGATCCCGTTCCATCGGTGTTTAATTACTTGTCGTTACCTTAATCGCCGTCGCGACACGCCTTATCCCCCACCCCCGATTTCGTTTCCCCGAGCGATCCTCCTTTTACCCGAAACAATGATTAAAACGTCAATCATATCCCGCCGGGTCGTTAGAAGTCGCCGTGGAAACTGTTCCACGGCCTGGCGGCTTGATATATCGAATTTCGATAATTTAACCCGCTCGTTTCCATTAAAGTGCGTGTCAACAATCTGCCGTTCGATTTAACGCGGCTCGAATACCTGTAGCTCGGCGCGGAAAAAAGAAGGCGCCTCGATGGATTGCAATTAGAAACCTCCGAGCCCCGCAACGCTTCAACGCTTACTCGCGCCAGCCATTTCTCTCTCCCTCTCTCTCTCTCTCTCTCTCTCTCTCTCTCTCTCTCGCTCGCTCGCTCGCTCATTCTATCGTTCTCACGATGTCAAGAGAGGTCATTCAGACAAATATCAACTCCTACGAACTTTCCAGATAAAATTTTCAAAAATATACATTTTCGTTGCATATTTTACCCTAATTTGAAATATGTGCAAATTATTTTGCCAACTAATTTTTTTGGCAAAGTATATATAAAAAATATATATGTAATTATATTATTTCACGATAAGTATAGTTGCATTTATAAAAAGCAACCTTTATAAATAGCATTAACATATTGAATACCGAGTGAACAACGTTGCATTTCTATTCTAAACACAACAGAAAAGTAGAGCGAAATCATATTGAAATTCGTGCATGTCGACGTTCATTTAAACGCTAATCTCTTTTTGTTTTTAGTCAAACATGTGCAAGATTTTCTTCTTTCATATTTTTGTAGACATATTTAGATATATTTTCCATGCAACTGGAACGTATGCAGACCAGTGTTTTTCTTTTTCGTTGTTAGAAACGGATGTCTGTCAATACAATTTGTCTTCACAGGTCCACAAGAATAATATCATTTTGATTTTCTCTTTATCTCGTCGCTGAAGTATCAATCTCAGTATAGAATCGCAAGAATTATAACAATGTTATTTTCTCTTAATTTAATCACAGAGGTACTATTTTCAATAAAGGAAACTATTTCAGAGTACAAAAACCCAGCACAATAAAAATGACAGTGGAGCCATGATTTAACCCTCGCACGGCGGGCCATTTTCACAACTATACTATCGACGATGTTTATAATAATTTTCCGCTTTACTCAGCAATTGCTCAAAACATTTCTTCCAGACTTATTAGCCTTTCTGTTGTTTCGAATGAAACAGCAATTTATTTGATCTAATTGCCAAAAATCGAGTAATTCATTGAACGACTTAAAAGCTCTGGGTCAAAATTGACCTAGCCACCGCCTTGCGAGAGTTAGTAACTTCGTAATCAATTGTTCCGATTAATTTTTGTTGTTGTACTTTGTTGTCTATTGTTTACCTATTCTTATACCTTGAAGTGTTTATCGACGATATTAGACTCGTATAATCAATGTTCGCTTCTTCAAAAAAAAGGAAAAAAAATGGTTTCTCGGCCGCCTTTTGGTTCTTCTTGGCGACTGTGGCGACGCGACGCACAGGCAGCGAGAAGAAAAGCTGTCTGACGCACATACCTTCCGTGTTCTCAGGCGTGCGAATGCTCGATGGCCCGGTAAACGACGCCGTCGAAGCCAGGGCACTGGGATTGAATCCTGATCACATCGATATATACAGCGCTTCTTGGGGCCCCGAGGACGACGGTAAAACTGTCGATGGCCCCGGACCTCTTGCCAGGAGAGCCTTTATTTACGGCGTAACCAGCGTAAGTTACGAATCTCTCATCTAAATCGCTTCTTTTCCTGCGACGTGCAAGCCGCGACATTACTACCTCTGGAAGACCACCCAATTTATGGCTGCACGCAAACGGCGAACTACCATCTGCATTTATGATTCATTCTGTAGAATTGATCAATTGACAATTGGAGAGCCGGGATTTGATGCAGGATTTTTGCTTCGGTCACGAGCATTTTCGACTGTAGAGTCTAAACTCGTTTCTGTGGAGACTTTACGAATGTTCACGTTATTTTTGCGACCCATGCGGGTTTCTACAAATTTACGTAGTCGTCCAGATAGCACGCGATGTCTTAGAGACGTTCGTTTTGCGTCTATTCCACGTCGATTTTACGTCTGAACGTCTTACAACCTAAACTAGACGTCTAAAGATGTCTTAAAAACGTCTTTATGCTTTCTGGATTGTAGTCCATGAAAGTTAGTAGTAATTACCAGTTACGTACTGAAGTTAATCCAAATACTATGTAGATAGTAGGTAACCCATGTAAACCCTACGTATAATGTATTGTACAAAGCAAGAAAAATTTCATCTACCACATTACTTAAGTAGATGTACTGTTATAGAGACACTATATTTCTCTTCAATTGATTCGAATAATCGAGGTTCTATTCAATTCCGAAGAATTTTCTAATAGTACACATGTAATATAATACAATTCTCATAAGCTAGACTGTGAAGAAAAATGATGAATTGTAAAACAAAATGGAAAAGAACCAGGAAAATATAAGTCGCCCTATTTTTAAACAATTAAAACGATTAAAAGAGAAAATACTTCTTTATTCAGCTCTCGCTTCTTGTAATCGACGGAAACATTATTTATTTTGCATAAAGATACGCGGTCTACTATTAAGTTGCTGTTCCAAAAGCAATTTTCCTCGTGCAACAGCCAATTGGTGAGTTTCCAAAATTTAATGTACTTAACAACGGAAAAATTACGCAAGGGAAGAACAGTCTCGCATTTTACGAAGCTTCTGAATCACCATTGCAAATTATTGAAAGAAAATTGGAAATAGCTCGTTTTTATGTCCGCCGCTCCGAGCGGAGAAAGAACGTTTCAGACGGGTTCGCGATGTTCGAATAAAATATTCATTGCAAATGATAAATGTTCCTTTGTGCCTTTGCCAACCGGGAAATAATATTCCAGGAATCGCAATTTCCGCACAGTATTATAAAATATCGAAGCACTCTTATTGTCCGGGGCCGAAACAAATGATAATGGAAGTTGTTGGGAACTTTCTTCGCTCCGAGGGATGATCGAAGACTTTCTTCGTTTACAACTTGTTGTTCCGGCTGCGTGCTCCCTAAACAAATGAAAATATTTCTGCCGCGTATTAACATCCAAGACGCCAAGACGTATGAACACGCTAAGATGCTCGGACACACAATAATTTCTGACCAACCTAGTTTTCCCTTTTTCGTCGGAATAAAATGTTTCCGCGAGCAAACGCGAAAGGACTCCATTAGTGTGATCAGCCCGAGGCGACAAAGTTATTCAGCACTGTCCTATGAATATTTTACTTAAATAAGAAAACATGATAATTTCGCACTGTTTCCTCTGTTACTAAAGAAAATTGTTTTTTCGTGTCGATTCATGAATAAATTTACGATCTTTGATCTAGCAGTTACTCTCTGTCAGGGATAGTCGAGTCACGGAATTAAGTTCCATCTACCTCTGAAACTTTAATATCCTCCGTTCCCTTTTACAAAAATCCTTAATAGATACTTCAGTACGCTTTCGCGAGCAAAGATACCCAATTCGAACCGCGCGAACAAAGCGCCGTCAAAGCAACCGGCTCTTTAAGCCGCGCTAAAGCACCAGGAAATTCCGATTTCGTCCAGTTTCAATCGAAAATCACCGACCGCGAACCGCCCTTAACACTATGTACAAGCTCCTAATACACTCGATGAATCGGTAAAACGAAACTGGTCTCACCTTTGAGCACGTTCAGTTCGATGCACTGATCCGCAAACGTGGCCCAGGAAGCATTCGCGGAACCGAGGTTCCTAAAAATGTCAAAGCATCCTTGCAGCTAACAACAGCTCGTTGTCGAAAAACGTGCTACCTTCTAACACCGTCTAGTCTATTACCTGCAGATAATAGCATTATCTTTGGACTCCGTTCTTTTGCATCCTTCCTTTCCCTTCCTACTCTCCATCATTATCATTTATAAAGCCGTTAAAACACCTAGCACTAGCCTAACTATCAGAGTCTAGGTACCTAATCCAGCTAGCCTAGCTAGCTGAGTCTGAAGACCTAGTCCAGCTAGCCTGGCTAGCAGAGTCTGGGGACCTAGTCCATCTGGTCTAGGTAGCATCTGGATACTCAGCTCGGTCAACAACAGATCCTAAAAGCTACCGATTTTCTTTCACCACAAAGGGCCGCAAAGGCAAGGGTTCTATCTTCGTGTGGGCGTCGGGGAACGGCGGTCGTCACACGGACTCCTGCAATTGTGACGGCTACACGAACAGCATCTTCACGCTGTCGATATCGAGCGCGACGCAGGGCGGCTACAAGCCGTGGTACCTCGAGGAATGCAGCTCGACGCTGGCCTCCACCTACTCCTCAGGGACGCCAGGCAACGACAAGAGCGTCGCGACGGTGGACATGGACGCGAAGCTGCGGCCGGATCATATTTGCACCGTCGAGCACACCGGGACCTCCGCGTCCGCCCCGTTGGCCGCCGGGATCGTCGCGCTGGCACTCGAGGCGAACCCGAACCTCACCTGGCGGGACATGCAGTATCTTGTGGTGCGCACCTCCAGGTCCGGGCCCCTCGAGAAGGAGCCCGGTTGGATCCTCAACGGGGTGAAGCGGAAGGTGTCCCACAAATTCGGTTATGGGCTGATGGACGCCGGCGCCATGGTCAGCCTGGCCGAGCAGTGGATCAACGTACCGCCCCAGCACATCTGCAAGTCCGACGAGATCAACGAGGAGAGACGCATCGATCCGACCTACGGCTACACGCTCAGCGTGTACATGGACGTCACCGGCTGCTCCGGCTCCTTGAACGAGGTCCGCTTCCTCGAACACGTGCAGTGCAAGGTAAGAATTCTTATTAAGGACCGGCTTTGCGCGCTCGACAGCTTTTCCGACATCCAGCCGGTGATATACAGACTGATAAGCCCTTTGCCACCTATGGCTTCTGGAAACTCAACGCTGTTCTTCGTTCCCGAGACCTTCTCGATAGCTTGAGCTACTCGCAGCTGTTTGCTGCTTCTAATGTCTAGCTGCTGATTCGCGAACTATTTTTAACTGCCGATAGCTATTGGATATCTTCAATCACTGGTAGTTCTTGTCCGTTTTTTAGCTACCAATAGCTATTATTGGATACCTTCAACAACTGATGGCTCTTGGCCATCTTTAGCTACCAATAGCTATTACCTATCATTAATCACTGATAGCTCTTGGTTATTTTTAGCTAACAATAGCTGTAAGCTACTTCCACTTACCAATTGATAGACTAATAAGATCTTTGTTACCTCTAGCCACCTCTAGTATATTGCTACCTTTAGTATCTGAAAATGGTTCCCTATTTTAAGCTACTGGTAATTACTACCTATCTTTAGTTGTTAGTTATGTCTTGTAACTATCTCGAACTCGTGGAAATAGATTTTCCAGGTGAATTGGACTCATTTCTGCTGAATTATTTTAAGAGCTATCGATTATAGAGATAGCGTCCAGACACACGGTTTATCTTGTGCATTCGAATACCGAATTTGTCATCCCAAATAACTTCTCGTTAATTTTAGTTACTCGAAGAATATATTCTATGTACAAACGTGGATACAGGACCTTTCCCGTGTCCTTCGATAATAGATTTCATCCACTGCAAATAGATTTGTAAAATGATCAGTGATTTAAAGAATGTTTCACGCAATCGGACTTTCGACATCAGCATATTTAAATGAAATCAATTTCGAAGTCTCGCGAGACCCGGCGGCATCGAATGAGTATTAAAACCATCGGTAAAGATGGAGCAAAGTATTCCGGATCCGGTAACTTTTCCGCAGAGTCACGGCGAAGTAAGACAAAGGTAACCGGTTGCTCCTCGGTCAGTATTTATGAAGTATAGGTCGACGAGATGCATAATACATAGTCGCCGGCCCGACCTTTTAAATTCTCGTATTACGCGGAAACATTTGCAAGTTCCGGCCGTAGAAAGAATAAACCGACGGTATCATTAAAATGTAAATTTCCCGTAAAACCGTTTTATGAATCGTAAGCCGGCGCAAAATATACGCTTTGCATAAAGTGAAAATAAATCTTGCCCGTGATATATTCGCGCTAATGAAAAGACAATAGAAAAGCAAAATAAGAAGGACGAGCGATCGGTTTCCATATAGATTCGATACGTTCGATCGTCTAATTGTCACGTTATCGCGAGCAACGTTGGCGTTATCGATTTCATCGGACGAATATTAAAGGGGAGCGTGAAACTTTAAAAGGAATAATATTATCGATGACGATGGAGATACTCCACCATCGGACGGCGTCGGATAATAGACACCGTCCTCCGACTTGCTTGGAAAGGAAATAGCAAACATTTCTTTCCGGGAACAGGTTTCATTAAGATTCTTCCCGCGAGGGAATTTGAGGTTGCTGTTGACCTCGCCGATGGGAACTACGTCGACGTTACTGTTCGAGAGACCACGGGACGTCCTCAGCGCCAACTTCGACGACTGGCCGTTCCTCAGCGTCCACTTCTGGGGTGAGAAAGCGGATGGCAGGTGGACCCTGCAGATCATCAACGCCGGAAACCGACACGTCAACTCGCCAGGCAAGTCACCCGCATAAATCGCTGTCAATCTTCGATATTACCACTGAAAAATATTTGATCGCTTCACCAGGAACGGCGACCTTGAATTTGCTGAAGAAAACTTACCCATTGTCGAAGCTATTGACCAGTCGTGGACAAACACAGTGCCGCAAAGCCTTTTAAAACTGAATTAACTTTTTCTTAAATCGAACCAAACAACTTGAATTATTTTGAGAACTTGGTAGAACTGGCTTAATATGCCCAAAGAAATTTTTGCAAGAATTGAAATTGATTGGGGATGTCAAGAAAAAATTTTGTAATTACGTTTTTCTTGTTAAGATAACTTAGAGTTAAGTTAATAACTTTATACTCCCTCGGTATCGAAATGATGTTGTCCTATTTACATCAATTATTTCTATCGAAATGATTGTCCCATTTTAATAAATTTCAAGGCGTAAGCATAATTTATTAAGTATACAGCTATATAAGTATAATAAGTATTTATTTAATATATATTTAATTATATCTCCTAAATTATATCCTTAATTCGATGTCTTTTTGACATTTTGGCACATACAGATTACATTTTAAGACGTAAATAAAAATTTTCGAAAATGTTACGCCACTATGATTCTAAGTTGGTGTTTTGCCCATAACAAATGCAGCAAGCGATCAAAGATTTTCCAGAGCATTGATAATCGTTTACGTTCGCCAGCCAACCGGTTAACGCATAGCGTACATCGTTACTAATCGGCGACTAATTTACACTAGAGCTAAGCAGCAGAGCCTAAGCAGTCTTGACGGCACACGCTTATTAAAAGCCATAACGATGTGACTCACAGTGCGTTCTAACAATGATAGTAACACCTTGTCGACCCTCCATGCTCGCTGAATCTCACAGCAGGGTGGATCCTAGTATCATTTACATTAAGTCGCTGTAACAATCGCCGTAAATCTGATTAACATAATCGTGTTATAGGTAAAGGGATCTGGAACCGTCTAGCTGTTTCTTCCGTTAATGCGATGTTTATTTTTTCAGGAGTCGGGTGCGGTGCACGGTCGCGTGATCCTGCAACCGTGTCTCGGGACAAATTTGCCAGACGTATTCTGCCTTGTCGTAGTAGAATAGATTTCCGTTAGGTTGTTTCGCGAGGCTGTTAATTTTCGTTCGAACGACGCGTAGTCCTGAATTCTTCATAGTTACGATGCCTTTAATGTCCGCGAGACTGTCGCCGACGAAATCTTTCGAAATATAGATCGCAGACGCTTTGTACAATCTGTGAAAATCGTCCATAGTTCCGCACTTGAAATCTTTCAGAAGTTCACGGCCACAGTTGGTCCCACATGAGAAACGAAACTGTTTTCTTATCAGGTTGAAAAACTGGTATCGATTGTGACGTATTCGAATCGGTTAAATTTTATTATAATCTCTGTTTGGATTTAGTCACTGTGATCGGCAGACAGCGGATTTTTATGCAAAATAGAAATTCTCCATATCAATTTGATGAAATAGAAACTTAATAGAAGTATGTTTGTCTTTGAAGTAATTTTAATAGATCAAGGATAAGGACAGCGAAACTTATTAATTATTTTAATCTCTCAACTATTTTAAATTAAAACTTTTTGCCGTAAATTCATAAAATACGCAGTCTAGTGATCAGTGTCAACTTTCCAGTTTCCATGACTAGTCTCTCTTATCGATTTCAGAAACTAATCTTTAGAGTAAAGCACTGACAGAATTTGTAGGATTAAGGGGCTCGCAGATTAACGTAAGGTCTCGCGAGTCCGCGATTTAGAGTTGTTTACTTTGTTCAATTATGACGCGTGATCAAATAATTCAATTTTTAATTTTTTAATTTTCTTTTTGTAAATAATTTACTATACATTGAGATGAATAACGCTGTTTTTCAAACGTTTTCGAACAATATCACGCATTGCCAAATTTAAAAATCACAGCGTCGAATTCGCTGGGTTATCCCGGTTCCGCCTGATTTTCCGTGGTTGCGATTCGAAATTCAACGTGCTAATCATGAAACAGAACAGGTAAAAAGAGCCATAATTAGACTGCTAATCCTTGCGCAAAGTGAAAACGATCTTCATGAATTGAAACGAAGAACGATCAATTAGAAATTTCCTTCTGCCATTAATAATTTCAATGAGTTAAAAATAATAGACAGACATCCATAAAGTCTTTCAATAGCTTCATTGTTTTAAATTCGTTCTACAAATTTTTCTTATAAATGCATAAAATCCGCAGTCTAATCATAATCAATCCCGTGCCAGATAATTATTGTTAGCTAACCTGATCCTGGAAACCAAGCTGTTTCTGGAGAAAAATAATTCTCGTCTGTGGAAAGGTAAAATCGTTGGATTCGATTCCGCGAGGTGGCGGAATTGGTCAGGTCGAAGGTCCGAAGGTTATAGGATATTTTAGAGTAGACCCTAATATTCGCCTTTAGGGCCGTGTACACTCGAAAGTTGTCACCTACGGCTTTATACACACCGGACTGTGCAAGCAACGGAACACGGTTACGACGATGTTTAGATAACATGAATTAGGAGATGGGGGATTGCCGAAAGCACGGTTAATTTAATGGTCAAAGTCGGATCCGTCGAACGCGCGTTGCTGCTCGCCGGGTCCGCGCCGTTTTCGGCGAGGGAACACCGAATGTCAACAGACTCTGACACGTCGAAGAACAAGTGTCCCGCGGCAGGAGGTGTTTGCAAATATTGAGACGTCGGTCACTGTTTCTACACCGCATTATAATCCGGGCTACGGATATTTATGTATTCATTCGCGTTCTTATGCGCGCGTAGGGTAGTCGAGCCAGTTACTGCGGAATAGCCAATTACTGAGCCTTTTGTTTACTTTCAAGCACAGTTAACACGTTCCGTGCCACGTGTACCATCGATGGTACACGCTTGCATGTTTACTTAGTGAACTGAACAAATTGTTTACAAGAAATTTAGAACCGAAGAATCAATTTCCACCGCAAGAATGGGCGTTGATAAGTTTTCGTTACGTTGTTATGTGTACGAGAATTAATAATTGCACGTAATACATCAAGTTTTAGTAAAATATCAAAGTGTGAAGATTCGAGTAAAAAAAGCTCGGCACGGAACGTGTTAACTTTA